GCTTTGTCTGAAGAGGACAGACGGACACCAGGAGGTCCCTGAAACCAGTCCGAGAGACTCACTGAGGATTCACGGCTGCAGCGAGAGCAGGTCCCGTTTCTGAAGCAACCTGTGGGGCTGAGGAGGATGCTCTCAGCTAAACCAAGGCTTGTCCGCTGTGCCTGAGCTTGTAGATCATGGTGGAAAGGCCTGAGCCAAGTGCCTGAAATCCTGCCAGAACTGATGGGCGCTTCTCATTTCTCCTCATGAGGTCTTATTCTACTTTTTTTTTTTTTCTTCCTCCCTGGAGCTCCCTCTTTCACTGCAGAATGCCCAGAAGGAATAAAGAGATAGCAGGTTCTCCCCATTCTCTTTTTCTTCTAAAGCCTTCAACAAGGGCAGATGAGATGTCTTTAGGGCCCAGGAATTATTGTTAACAGGAGTCTGGGGGGGTTGTGACCTGCGTTAAAGGATCTAGCAAAAATTCAGCATTAAACCACTACTTAGCCATGCCAAAACCAGCTAGGAGGCTGGTTTTTAAAATGCAGCTTAAAGAAAGAAACTTAAAAGATACGAGTCATCATTCTGAAGTGTGCATCAAACAAGTTAAATAACTTACTTTCTTAACAACATATTAATCAAAGGGCATTGATTCTTGAATCAGATTCTACTACCAACAAGCCTTCTATCTTCTCCATCCTGATGCATGCATTAAGAGAGTTTTATTCTGACAGATACAATATAGCAATCAATAAAATCTTATTATATGGAGCTGAGATACATGGATTTGTTGCAGGATTTATGCACTGCTTTCAAACCTGGTGCTATTTCATGTCTCAGCCTTAACCTGTAATTGAAAATAAATCTCCCTGAATACACCAGATTCTAATTTTCTGGATGTACGGGCAAACGTGAAGGGAAGCCGGCCTTCCCTCGGGGAGAAGTCTGCTTTCTGATCCTATCACTCCCCCACCCCGTGCACATCGCTGCGCTGCCAGGTTCCTCCGGAGAAAGCATCCCCCGTTCCATCACGCTCCCAAACCCTCGTGCCTCCGAAGCCGCTCGCTGCCTCCCGGGCAGAGATAACACAATGTGACAGTGCCGGGACACGAGCGACAAGAGCGGCGTGAGGCTGCAGATGAATAAAGATGAGGGAGCGGGATGGCCGGAGAAGCTGGTGTTTCTCTCGGTTGCTGCTCTCCTCCAGCTCCCGGGGTTTGCTTGGCGCGGAGAACCACAGACTGGTTTGGGTTGGAAGGGACATCTAAAGGTCATCCAGTCCAACCCCCTGCCACCAGCAGGGACATCTTCCATACATCAAGTTGCCCCAAGTTCTGTCCAGCCTGACCTTGAGTGTTTCCAGGGACGGAGCTTCCACCACCTCTGTGGGCAACTCATGCCAGCGTTTCAGCACCCTCATCATAGAAAAAATTTTCTTCTTTAATTTTTTATTCCATCCTTCCCGCTCAGCGGCAGGAGGTTGCCTCTCACCTCGCCGGGCACAGGACAGCCAGGAAGGTATTGCAGCGGCAGGACACAGACGGCCACCGGCACTTTTCCTTCGAGTTCGTCTTGGTCTTGGAGAGCTCAGCGCCGCTTGGCTGTACGACAGCAGGTGGATACCCAGAGGTATCCCTGGAAATAGCTGGAGGGGACTTAGATCTAAGCAGCTCTATCGACGGCGCTAATACAATAAAAATAATCAGATTCACTCAGACGGAAACGAGAGCGATGGAGAGAGAGGCAGACAGCAGCGCAAATAAAGAGCAAGGGCAGGTCACCCACACAACACCATGAGTTGAGGGGCTTCTCCAAAAGAGCCACGATGACACGTTCATCGAAAAGTCACTGCAAAAAGTCGTGCCTTTTTCTCTGCATTTTTCCCCCCTGTAATACACACACACCTACTTGTTCCTTCTCTAACCGGAGGCACAAATTGGGCACGTCTGCAGAGCGATACTGGCACAGGCTTCCCTGGTTTAGTGGTCACGGCAGTGTTGGGTGACAGTTGGAGTAGATGATCTTAGAGGTCTTTTCCAACTTTAATGATTCTATGAGTCTATGATTCTATTCCCACATGGTTTTTACCTCTTGTCCCGCTGGGAAGAAACATGGGTTTGCAGTTGCTGCACTAAATGCTTGTTTTTTCTGAAATTTCTCTAGAAACTGAGCAGAGGGGTGCAGGAGGATGCTGCGGAGAGAGCACTGGGGGCCAGAGTCTGTAACGCTAATTTTTTGTCTCCTATCACGGAGGGAACAGCCACCCCCTAAGCTCAACACAAGGTTCTTTTATTGGGGAAGACGGTTTCATAGGAGAAAAGGGGATTTTAATAAAGGAGCTGTCAATCAGAAAGGAAAATGATCGCTGCCATGAAAGTGCTGGCTCTTATTTTTTTTTTTGGCTCCTGTACTTTCTGAAGAAAAAAGAAACCCCAAACACGATAACTCAATTTACAGGAATGGCAACCAGAAAGAGAACTGGCCTGAGGAAAGTACTGGGGAAATAAATGAGCTGCAGCCAGAAAAGACTTAAAAACTCAAGATTCCTTTGCAAGCCCTGCACTGCAGAAAGCACACATCGTCTGCGTTTGGGGAGCACCACGTGAGTGAATCCAGCCTCTCCTTTAAAAAAATTGACCATTGACCAATATGACTTGCGAATGGCAGATACAGCAGATTACCTCTTTCAGATTCTTTTGGATTCTACCAGCGTGGTCCCCACTCCAAAGCGCCCCACGGCTGCTGAGTGGGGGCAATTCACCCTCCAGATCCCCATCGCTTGATGGGATACAACCTCCTCGGTCCCCCAAAGTGTCTTTTTTACCACCACAGGGATGTTTTGCCACCTCCGAGCGATCTCTAAAGGGGGCAGGCAGGGCGGGCGAGGGGTGCTGAGGCTCCCTCAGGGCGCTGCCGGCTAAATGAGGCTGGAGGGGAAAAAAAAAGAAAAAAAGATTGACCCGACATTCGTGAGAGACAGAGCGAAGCGGTCAGGAGAGGAACGGAGGGAGAGAAAGGCAAAGAGCGTGCCTGTCTCCGCTCCCCCCCCTTATTTCTAGCTCTGGGCTTTGCTCAGCTAGTGAAAGGGTTAAGTTTAATTTATACTGATTTCTATTTAATATCATTCTCTCCCCGTAGGAGCCGGCAGCTGTGAGCTGATTGTGCTCTCTCATTATGCAGTCTGTATCACTAATGGCCTGTGACAAAGGCATGCCATCTTCCCGGCCTTACCCCCGAGAGCCAATTAAACACACATACTCCCTTCCTGTTTGCAGCGCATTACAATGAAATTAAACTGAATTTCAAAATCATTTTCTCCTAAAGACATCTCTTTGCAATAATTAATGCATGCTATTCCTTTGCCTCTGAAATATTCATCAGGAGTGTCGACTAAAAAAAAAAAATAAAATTTTTAAAGCTGATTGCCCCCGCGCCCGGCATCGCCTGATGATGCTCCGGGTCCCGGCCCCGCGGTACCCGCCCGGGATGTGGACCCGTGGTGACACTGCTGGCAAAGCAGCTCCACGTCTGCTTCGGGATAACCATAATAATAAATCACGGCTTCTTCAAGAGCTGTAAATAAATAAGATTACACAGAAGGCATCAGAAATCCAGCGTGGTTCCTGCCTCGACAGCACTGCTGATACGCAGCACAAGAGGGGAAGGGGAAAGTTAGAGCTGTGGAGGTGTTATCAGGCAGAAATGAGCCAGCCTGTCCCACGGCTGGGTTAGTACTTAAATTTAAATTGTGGGATGGTGCTGGGGGAGACGGGAACCTCCTACCGAGGGGCTCTCGGACCGCTCGGCGCGGCGGGCGTGATTCGAAGCACATCACTTATTCATGGCCCGTCACATTGATTCCGTTTGGGAAAGGTCTTCAGCGCAGTCTCCCTCTTGAATTTGTTATCCCATGTGATGGGCAGGGTTAGCCCCAAGAGTTCTCCTCCAAGAACTTGCCGTCCCAGCCAGGGCCAGGCCTGACGGCAGCTGCTGCTGTCGCAGGATAACAGGATCTTTTCTCTCTTTGCAAATATTTGATAAAGCCTCTCAAGGCACACACAGGACCCACTTGCAATAGGTATTGTTATCATTAGGGTATTATCTTCTGGTGAAATTTGATTTGGAAGAAGCAAATGCCAGAGGTTTTTCCCATCCCTGGACACATTTGACATTCCCTCTCTCGAAAAGGAAAGGTAAATCCCGAGAAAACCCAGAAAATTTCCTTTGCATTTCCACAACAGATCATACAAAGGAAAAAAAAAAGAGCCTTAGTTTCAAACGAAAAGGCCTCTTTATTTGAAAGAGTCGGACTTTTCACTTAAAAAAAAAAGCGCTCTGGCAATTTCAAACCCCCTTCTTGAACTGCTCCCGCACCAAAGACACCCGCTGTGATTTTTCCCCAGAAAGTTCAGCAATTAGTATTTTCTGACTGACGAATAACGGTTCCTTGAAAATGCTCACAAGCCCAGCCCACCCCGTGCAGCTGCACTGCCCCGCGCTTGCGGCTTCGACCCTACACACCTTGTCTTTAAAAACTCAGCCATGACCAGGAGAGCAAACTCCCTCCTAGACACCCTGCCAGTGCCGGCATGGATCCGGCACCTCGGAGCTACGCAAAATCCCACCCGTTTGTCACATCCTCTCTCCAGAAAACATTAAGTCCTCAACTGAACTGTATCCCTATGCACTGTATCCACCCAATTCTTAAATCCCTCCAAGTGCAGGGACTTCACCACTGCCCTGGACAATCCGTTCCAACGCCTGGCAACCCCTTCCATGAAGAAATCCTTCCTAATATCGAACCCAAACTTCTGTTGGCGCAACTTGAGTCCATTTCCTCTTGTTACGTGGTAGAACAGGCTGATGAAGCACCAATATATTATCCTTACACCCCAAACATACCCCATTACTTGGCTACTGACGGCCATCGCACACAAAAACCATCCCAGAGCCCAGCGTTTAGGAAGCACCGCGTCCCTAGCCAGGTGGAGAGACCCCCCCAAACCCAACCCCCATGGTACCTGTTTTGAACCAGCCATCGGGCGTGAAGGCATCGGCGGTTTCCCTGGGTCTGTTCCAGTACTCGCGGAAGACGGAGGGTCCCTTCACGAGCAGCTCTCCTTCTTGCCCCTCAAGGCCCGGTGTCACCTAGGACAAGCATATGGTGAAACAACCCTTGGGGAGCAGCATTGCCTCCATTGCCCGGCCCCCGGCACCCAGAGCTCGGGGGGACAAGCAGGACCCCTGGAGAAGCGGTAAAGTCATCATCCCTGGAGGCGTTCAAAACAGGTGTAGACGTGGCACTTGAGGATACAGTTTAGTGGTCACGGTGGTGTTGGGCAGACGGTTGGACTAGTTGATCTTAGAGGTCTTTTCCAACCTTAACAATTCTGCGTCTCCCTCCACCCCTTCCCAACCTCGGAGGCAGCCTGCCCACCCACAGGACCTCTCTCCTCTGGAGGAAGCACTCACTTAAGTGCCTTTGATATTCAAAAGCACTGAAAATCCTCTTCTCAGTGATGTCCAATGACAGGACAAGGGGCAACGGAGCTGGAGCATAGGAGGTTCCACAAAAACATGAGGAAGAACTTTTCCCTGTGCGGGTGCCGGAGCCCCGGCCCAGGCTGCCCAGAGAGGGTGCGGAGTCTCCTTGGGACCTACTCCCTTCATCATCCTCGTAGCTCTCCGACGGAGAGCTACGAGGATGATGAAGGGACTTGAACCAGAGAGGGTGTGGAGTCTCCTGCTCTGGAGACTTTCAAACCCACCTGGACGTGTTCCTGTGT